AAAACTAAAATAGATATATATATATATATATATATATATAAAGATAATCACATGATGGATCAGATGTGAAAAGTAAAGATTTTGTTTTTTGTTGTAAATAGTTGAATAAAGAGTTCACATGTAAATAGTATTAATATGTTTACAACGCTATAAATTGGTGAATTATCCTTCATATTCATATTGCATTCTACTTTCAATCTTTCAACAATCTTAAAATTCTTGTTATTTTTCAAATTTTCTAAAGTTTTTAAAAGTCTTTTCTTTATAAGGTGAGTTTAAATTTATTTTATTTTAATTAATTTTATACTTTTATATGATATTGTTGATATATTCAATCGTTTGATACTTAAATTAATGTTAATATTTCTTTTTATTTTTTGTGTATTGATATGCATCCGTCAAATGTATACGTACATCCTGGTCCAGTAGAGCATGATGTATTAAAAATTCAAGTTCATCATTGTTCCGAAGGAATTTGGAATGGTAGCATAAAAGAAGAGAGGTCTTATATATATATCATTTTGTTTTTTAAAAAAATTCAATAAAATCGCTACCTTTAATTTTTTATTTAAAAAACTTAATTATTTGAATTTAAAATTTTATTTGAATTCAAATATTATTTAAATTTAAATTCAATATAATATCTTTTTTTAGAAAGAAAATATATTTATTACTTTACTTATTTTTAATTTTTTTAAAATAATGTATATTTTCTTATAAGTTATATATTTAAATTTTAAAAAATATAATAATTTTTCTTATATAAAATCGCTGTTTTAATATTTTTTTATTTTTTTTTTACAAAATGTTAAATCGCTGGTGTGGTAGCGATGTACCTTATTTAAAAAAAATAATTAAAAATGTAAGAAATAAAATTTTGAAATCTCTGCAAATAACTTTTGCAAAATCGCTGCTGAGGTAGCGATTTTGCTTTTTCGGGTGAGGTAAGTCGCTGCATCTGTAGCGATTTTACCGTTTTGGTTAATATAAAATTTTATATACCATTTTAAAATTTTTATTAAAATTTGTACCCTTTAAATTTCGGACTCTTTTTTTTTTTTAATGTAATCATTTGCTATATTTTCTGTTTATGTTTTCAGCTGAATAGCTCGCTCAATGAAAATATACAAGTACTTCATCTTTTTTTAATTGAATAAGTTGCAAGCTTGTTATATCATTTATCGAATAAATACTGTTAGTGAAACTAAATAAATGGTCCAAAGCTCCAACTCAAGCAAATAAGTCCAGCAAATAGCAGTTATTTTCACCGTATCGGACCTCAACTAAGTCCAGAAAACAGATGATTTCTGTCAGCTTGATGATCAGCCATCACTTATATTAGATTACTCACTCGTCAATTCTAACTACAGTTCTTTAGAAACATGTATACCAGAAGAAAAATATGTTGACAGCATACCATAGGCAGTAAACACTAGTTGATTAACTATGATGCTGGATTACATAAGTCAATTGTACAGTGTTTTGTTTTGGTTTACATCGAGGCTCATTATGCAAAGAACTTCCAGTTTCTCACAAGACTAAGTTACTCTTTATTTCACAATAATATTATGAAATCTAAGACACAACTACCTTATTTATCAAGTTCATTAGTGTGTTATAATGATAATTGAACACAAGATTACATTGGAAATATGCACCTGCACAAAATAAATAATGTAGCAAAGGCTGCTGCAGTATCTACACGCATCGACCTAATATGTACAAACGTTTATTGGCACCAAGGACTGTATACCATTCACAAGACTCAAATTTTGATCAAAGATTAAAAAAATGAAAACTGGAAAGCAAGATTTGTGCTAACTGAACAATTTTACATATATCTAAAGAAAATTCTACGACTGCGCACAATATTGCATCGGGCAGCAATTTCCTAAGGAGAACATCTGTCTTCAAGATATGATGGTTCTTTTGTTCACGATCCTCCTTACAGAGAACCATCTGAGAACACTAAATAGCATCTTCCATCTCCTTTGAGCTTTATCCAGAGGAACAATTGAACTGCTATGAGCAAGAAAGCTGTTGACAGCACATTGTAGATCCGGTGATGGAGCAAAGCTTGAACTGGGAAGGGAATAGTCGGTATCAAAGAAAGGCAGATGATCATCATCACAAAATGATGGGGGAGTTATAGAATCAGTATCAGCCATCAAGGAGTTAGTGTCTTGCCCAGGGAAATTTAATGGTTGGTCAAACGTAACATCCATGCTGTCTATACCATGCAAGACATAGTCATCCAAGCTGCTGAAACCGGCAATTGAACAGAAAGATGGCATGATATCAGGCGTTGACGCACTTAGTGACTGATATTCACTTCTGCTAACCTTCTGGGAAGCTAAAACATCATCACTGGTACCCACCATGGGTGAGTTTGAGGGGAACTGAACAGTGGAAATTTGCATAACCCAATCCATAAGAGACGACTCATCCTCAAAAGAGACTACTTCTTCCCAGTGTCTGAAGGCACAAATCACCAAATTACGAGCATCATCCTGCAAGGATAAAGAATTGAAGTCATTGGGCAATCCATAAGGAGCAATGGAAAGTATAAATATCTATAATACTAGCTTTGATATATGAAGAAAAAGAACAAATCAATAAAACAAATTTGTTCGTATTTATTATGAATACATGCCTTTTGAGTTTCGGACAATTTATCAGCAGAAACAAACTGGCAGTCTGGAAAAAGCCCCATCACTTGTCCAACAATGTTAAAAACAACACCGGTTTTTGGACCAGATACAGATGTGTAGTATAAGTACACTTTCTTGTCAAGTAAGCAAGTTCGAGCATGTTCCACTGTGACTTCCCACATTTTGGTAGACATACCCGTCCCAAGAACCTGCAAGATTTCCCAGGAAAAGGAAAACACAAGAGACCTCAATATTTTATCTAGATTAATAAAATTTCTTAATCATGA